ATATTACCCGTGTTAATTATCGTCTGGTTGAAAAAGTATCGGATGATACCATAAATATCGACTCGATACATAATTTCGTTACATCTCCGATTTAGCATTACATATTCTCTATTTTTTTAAAAAAGTATAGTTTGTATGCGCCATTTTGATTATAATTAATTGATTCACGCTATCGCTATTTTTTTGAAAAATAAGGTATAGAAATACTCATTTTTTTGTACCAAGTCATATTCTCGGAGGAAAATGAAAGCTCACAAATTTCCAACGAGGACCTCAATGCCAGGTATTACAAATGCCTCTACAGGAAAGTGCTAGATCCTCAATTTAAGGTTTCCTTCAAGCAGGACAAGCTATTTAATCTCCTTTACAAGGCTATCCAACGTGATACGGATCTTAATAGGATAAAGGTTTTAAGTCATTATGTTTTTTTTGTTTTTAAACGCTTTAGAAATTCCTGGCAATTTTATATTATTAACTAATACTGGATTCTAATTTTTGACTTTATATTTTAGTTGCGTAATCATTCAGCTAAATCAACAAGCTCAGGTCATAACAAAAAATTAGCTGAGCTTTGAGGCGCTAAGAGATTGAGCTATCTTTTTTTGATAAAGAAAATCCTGAGGCTAAGGAAGATGGTTTTTGGTTAAAAACTTCGGTTTTCAGCTTTTTAAAATCGGATTTAAAAAATATCTAGCTATTTACCCAACTAGACATAGGACCATATTTAGCCAATTTAGCGCTTAGAAGTGACAAGAATTTTTTATCTTTTTTTTTTACTACAGAGTTTCTTCAAAAGACTCTTAACTCTTTGTCTTTCCTCTCCGGTGCCTTTTACGTGTGGTACACTGGTTATCCTGTACGAAGCTCTCGAAAAGCTTTCGTCCTCTCAAACTGCCTCAATATCGCACGAGGATATATTCTTCCCTTCTCGCCGCTGCCTAACACCCGATTCCGATCCCGTTAACGATGCGGCCATCGTAGTGCCTGGAGGAGAGAAGGGCATCAAAAAGTTTGACTTTGGCGCCAGGGATCCTAGATTCGCGGGGGACTTCGAATATTTTTACGAATTTTATCCGGTAAATAAATATATCTAGGAGAGTATTTTAAATATATACTATACCTCGATTGTAATTGATACGAATAAAAATTCTAAAATAATATTTTAGCCTTTTTTTTATTACTGAAGAAGAATATATTTATTTACACGAGGAAAATTGATTCATCGGGAAAGAAAAATAATATTTGCACGTTGCAAATAGAAGAGGTTTTTAGAGAGCATTATAATACGCGTCTAAATTATGAATTATTTTTTTTTACAAATGTTAAAGACGATCCTTTCTCATTAGTAGTGTTGTTAAACGGCTCGTTTTGAGCCGATTTTTAAAAACGGCTAATTCTTTAACTACAGGCATCGTTCACTTCTTTAACATTGCTTTTAAGATACTTTCAATGTTAAAAAGATAGGTTACGCGTTTTTAAATAGCGTTAACGCCCGGATGAGGCATGACCCAACACGAGTCTTATTTTAGGCATCTTTTTGCCCGTTGGATCCATCTGAACATTATTATATATACAAATCACTAAAAAAAATTTAAGTTCCTCATGCTGCACTAAGATTTATCCTTTTAAACCCCCCCCCCTTAATGAAATTTAGGACCATTAAATAATAATTATTTTTTGTTGTTGTTAGCTGATAAAGCATTTCCATCCAACCGTCTCTCTCTATGCCAATCAACTCCTGGTCGGCAAAAAGCTTACATACCATGGGGACCCGATCAGAAGTTTCTCGCTCTCAAATTTCCTGGAAAATTTTATTCTTAAAAATCCTAAATCATTATCTACAACGAAACACGGTAACAATATTTCATCAACAAATTATTTCTTCTATTTTCTTTTTTGAGAAAAAAAAATTGTTCTCATTTTGATAAAGACCCTATTATAAATTTTGTTTGATTTTCTATATTTCTATCCAAATTTTTTTTTGTTCATGAGCCCAATGAAATATTACCTAGGCTAGACCTAATCATATGGTGGCACGCCATTTTGGGTTGTCATATTTTACGTCGAAATTTTTTTTTTCAGTTTCATTTATATAATATTAATGAAAAATTATATGGGTGACCAAAATGGCGGGTCACCAGCCAATTTGTATTTAACTACGTTTCAAAATGCATTTTGATGAATGAATCCTCAGTTTAGGTCAATGATACATATATATACACTACTAGATTGTCGATTCATTTCATTAAATGCATCTAAAAATGCTCCTACATCCGAGACCTTCCCAGACCGGTCCATACCCCGTCTGGGCCTTTAACTATATTTTCTAGCGTGCTTGAATATTTTTTTATAAGGGTTTAGGCTGGACTTGGCCCTAAAAAATTTTTTTAATTTAAATTCAGCTTATTTAAAACAGTTGCTAACCTAAAAAAAAATATTGCAATTCTTCTAATAATAGTAACTTTCGTATTATTATTATTATATTATTAAAAATCATTGTCTAAACACTTAAATATTGTTTATTTTCTTTGATAATAAATTAAATTTTTGGATAACGGGGCTCATAGAAAATTTTTTATGAAATGGACTTGAGAATTCCTAATATTAAATAAGGGGTGGGAGCTTTAAAAAAATCTTTTTCACTTGGACCTGATCAAAAAGGCTGAGGCCTATGATTAGATGATATACATTAATGTGCATTCATATATTGATAAATAAGACGTCGACATGCAAACTACAAAATGTCGCCACAGCCGATTGCTATGGTTATGTAATATACACTATAATATTAATGATCCTCAGTTTATATGCATAATTAATTTAAGGCAAATATTACACACCCTTGTTATTAAACACTCTTTATTAATTAATGCACCTATACTTTCATTAAAAATAATTTGGGACAGGACAGTTATATTCATCATACATTGTAACTTTTACAAAAGTAAAATGAAAATTATTTTTTCACATAAAATTGGTTATACACCCTCACCCTCCCCCCCCCCTCTTTTTATTATCCATAGTAAGGCAAATATATTAGTTAATTTAATTATTTGTTATATATTTTTATTTTCTTACTGAAATTATTGTTTGTAACCACGAAATGTCCGATTCGCAGATGACGATGCCACTCAGGAGACCAACGCAACCTTAGCAGATAGAATCAGAATGACGAAAAAGTGAGAAAAAAAATATTGTGATTATTGTAAAATTAGGCCTATGCGCCAATGGAAGAAATTGGGTACGGCGGCGTTTTGTCTTAAAACTATTAGTGTAGTGAAACAATATCGCTCCAAAATTTCTTGCTTTGAATAAAAAAAAAAATTCGATGTTTTTTAAATTTAATATTTTTGCATTTAAGCGCTAAAAAATGAATCATTTATTTGGAATCAATTTTCGCTTTTAAATTTACGAAATTTTTATTTAAATTATTATAATTGTAAAAAAAAAAAAAATTATTGTTTAAATTTGAAGGGGCATTGTGAGGATCTTATCTTAAGAAGTGCGCTCAGTGAGCGCTTGCATTGGGGCTGAGAATAGTTTTTTTCTCCCGGTTAAAACGTAAAACCTTGAAAGTTTTTCTTTTATCCAAAATTTTAGAAGAGGAGAAAATAATGTAAAATTCTCTCTTTTTTCTAACTCTTTTCAGAATATCGTTTCCCTTCGATTTTTTCTTATAGTTTGCTTCAGATAACTCATTCTATTAGTTTATATGTGATATGGGGTGGAGGGAGATGGAGTTAAGTAGGTTAAAGATAATCTATTCCTTTAAACGAATATCATGTTAATATTTGAAGAAAAAATTGCAATAAAGAAAATAAAATCTATATTTTTCAAATTAGGGAGTAAAACTTAATCATCTAATGAAATCTGACTTATCTGGGTGATAAGCCGACAAAAGACTGTGATTTGTCTAATAAAAAAAATATTGTTAAATCGGCTGATTATTTATCCCGTTATATATGGCGTCCCTCACTTCATATTGGGATCCAATCCGGCACAATTTAACAGCTGAGCGATTATCCTTACGGTGAGATCAATTCTTCTTTATTGAAATTAATATTAATGAAAGAAAAAAATTGATCTCATCAAAACAAGTTTTGTAAAAAAAAAATCGATCAGCTGTTAAATCGTGTCCGTTTGCATCCAGCCTAAAATCAAAATTCTGGCAAATGGAATGGCAACATATGACATATGTCACCATCTTCATAAAAGTAACATGTTTTTTAAATTATAGATCTAAAAGAATCAAAAGTTTCACAAACGCACCTCAGGCCAAAAGGAATAAAACTTCGAATGAAGAAGCGCGAAAACCGACCGATAATGATGCAGACGATAGAATAAAGACGATCTTTAAATCGTCCTCCAGGAAAGTGATGAGCTTCAAAAAATTGTCGAAAATCGATTTCGCCGACGATTTCGTGACAGGCATCAATAAAAATAATTCGAAAAATAAGAACAAACGCAGGAATAGCAAATCGTCGTTCGCCAAATCGTCAGATACCGATTAAAAAAAATTTTTTTTTCTTCTTGTATGTCTACGTCACGCCTAAAGTAAATCTTATGACGTCATTGGTCACGTGTATATTTTAATTATAAGACCCATCTTCGAATGCATATAAACTCCATTTTTTTTTCTTAAAACAAAAGAACATATATAAAACAACTTATAATATTCTTCTCGAAATATATATTGAAAAACGTCAATAAAATGTCAATTATAAATAGACAGATACAACAGTCATAAAATAAAAATATTTATTATAATTGTATTACTCTCTATTTTTTACAGTATACGAATTTTTTATTGTTTAAATATTAAAAAAAAAATTTCTTCGACTATTTCTATTTTTTTTTATAAAAAAAATATATATGTGTAAATTAATTTAATTTGCAAATATTCTAATTATCATTTAATTTACGATTCTTTAGAAGAAGCGCGAAGGCTTATTTCGCGGGAACCAGAATGATTGAATTTAGACGTAACGCGTAGGTTTTTTTTTACGATATAACCTCGTGTCACGTGCCCAATTTGCGCATTCTGTTCAAGAGGGCATTGATACGTTCGTTTTGTTCCTCGACCATTCCTCGAAATATTTCTACGTTTTGGGGGGAATAGGCGGATCCGACATTTTTAGACATTTTAGTCGTATCCTTTTTCTCGTTTCCCTTTTCCTGTTTGTTGCAAGCCAATCCCAGTTGCAGGTTCGCCATTTCGAGCTTAACGTCCATGTCCTGCAATTTATTGACTAAAGGAAATAACAGGTAATTCATTTTGTAGGACAGTTGTTGGAGCGTTCTTTTGATCTCGTGCGTGTTGATAACAGTATCCTTATCATCAGTGGAGGGGCCAAAGAATTCGATCTTTCGGAAAACAACTGTGACTCTAGCTTTAAAGGACCCTATTTTTGCTTGTAAAAATGTCCATCTCTCCTGACTCTTGAGCAGTTTAGCTCGCAACGCTTCCATCGCTTTCGATATCTCATCCCGCTTAGTTTGCTGGGAAGCCATCACGTGATATAAGTCCTTTTTTTAAATATATGCACAAATATTATTTAAATTAATTTTTATTTCGATAAGCAGGGATTTATCATTCCCCAAATTTTTTTTAATGCAACTAACAAATTACAAGAATTTCAGGGTGGGTCTGGATATTTATTTTTAAATTTTGTGGTCAGACTGCGCTTTAACTATCGAGCAGCATAACTGGTGCGGGTATAGCAACCTCCCAGAAAATTTAAAATTGTCACACAAAGTTGGACAATATTTTGACCTGGATTTTTCCATAGCCTCACTTATTTTTTTTGTTTTAGTTCTTAGAAACAAAACTCTAAAGTGGTGTAGCTCTTAATAACTTTTATTCCTTAATATATATATTCTACACTTGGCAGCATTGGACTTGGATCTGTCCATACAGAGCTCTGGAATATATATTTTAGACTTTGTAGCTTTTAAATATAACAAACCACACAAAGTATGGAGGCATATTTTTTTAAATTTTGGGGGTATGAAAAAACATCAATTATGTGAAATATTTTATGCACCTAATAAGTTATTAAATTTTATAAAAGATTTAAATTTATGATCCAAATTTTAAAAAAAATACAATTTAAAATTGAGGTTTGTTCTTACTATGCCAGTGTTTATATAAGTGTTGAAAATGTAAAAAAAAATGAATTTGTTGAGTTCCACCTAAGATAAAGATAGACGATAAGTTGGAATAGAAATAAAACAAAATGGTGACTTTCATTATTGATTAAAGAAAAAATCTAGAAATAAATAATCAAATTAGATTACATATTAAAATATTATATTATGAATGATAGTAACCTTTTTCTTGACTAACAAATCATCCAAAGCTTGGTTCAATTTAGTTACATCTAATCTTCCATTTTTGCCCTTTCCGAATAACATAGTATGGTTCTGGAATTGTTCGGTATTCATCAGCTGGTCCTTAACTATGAGTGAAAGTTCATTCTGATCTTCCAAATGGGTGGCTAAACTTTGCAAAAATGTCGAATTCTCTTTATTCATGTATTCTCCAGCATCGAAAGTGTGTTGTTTCAAGCACGAATTGGAATCTAGAATATATATTTCAACCATAGTATTTTTTGTATCCTTCGAAAAATTACCTGCCAATGGAACAAAATTTATATCAAATCCATTCAAGAAATTATGTTCATTTTTACAATTAGATTTAAAATCAATTAGTATTTCCAGACTAGAAGATTTAGAAACTTCTTTGGCTATAAGATATAATCTTTCATCCCTGGCAGCATTTTTGTCCTGAAATAATTTCCCAGAATTTAGGCTAAACATGCTATTGAGTTGTTGTATTTTGGTAATCCAAGGAAAATGGAACATGGATATGCCGCAACTAGGTTGAATGACTAAATAGCCTACGGCGTAAAGTGGTGATATGTTAGAATGAGAATTGTTATTATGGCAAAATGGGAAAAGCTTTATCGATGGTTGAATAAATGTTTTAACAGTATCAAAAATGTAAGCATGATAAGTTATTAATGACTCGGATAGAGGAGGGTCCCTAGAATGATTCTTATTTAATGAGGGTATTAATGCACAGTGTTTGAAAATACAATTGTAATGGTCTTCTGAATAAGATGAGTTCTCATCTTGAATATTGCCATTCACATTTGATGATAACTCAAAATCTAATTGACATAGGACTAATATATTTGGGGATATTGAAGGTAGATAAATCATGGAGTGATACTCCAAATTTATGTCATCTATTTCTTTTCCTGTAGGAGTTATATCGAGATTATAAAAATGTGAGTAAAAAATATTGGAAACATTTTTCTTTGTAAAAGTATTGCCAAAACTATCAAGCCCTGCATATGCATATGGAAGGTATAAATATAGACTTAGAATTGTTCCATCAGCTTTCATAAACAATAAAGTATAAGAAGAATTGTTTTCAACATCTGTGGTAATTAAATCAGGGCCTACTACAAAATCTATATAAGTTTCACCTAATGCTTCAGATATTTTTAGGCTAGATATATGAGTGCTAGTTTCAGATATTGAATTATTAGGATCCCCAATATTATCAACAAAATTGATGTTCATTATATTGCAAAAATATATGGGAAAATTTGGGTAATTTAATGAATAAATGCAAAATATATTTTGCTTAGTTAGTTTACATACAAAACTATGGTTATAAAAGTTTAGCCAATCACATTTTACAATGTATTGCTTATTTTCATCATTTGAGAATATATTTTTTAAAGTATAATTTAAAGTATCTTTATGTACATCCCCAATAGGCTTTAATTCACATGCTCTTTCACTTATATAAGCTTGATCATCTTGTCTTAAATAAAAATCTCGAATTTCTTGGATAAAGGGTATATTTGTGTAAAATACATTTTCATTACCCCATAATAATACTTGAATAGAACTACTTTCTCGATTTTTTACATTTAGAGTTATAGTATGAATATCATTAGATGGTGATGGTAATAATTTTAGGATATGATAATGTGAATATATGTCCTTTTGTAATTTACCAACTTTAAAACTTTCCCAAAATTGAGTGTGAGTTATGATAATAGTTTTATTTACTTTGCAATATATAATAATTAGGTCATTTAGAACGAATATGAAGTCATTATTAGTCGTATTTGTTTTAGAATTATAACTAAAATTTTTTAAATAATCTTGTAATGAAATCTTTGATTTATTCATTTAAAATCAAAAAAAAATAATTTAAATAAAACCGCACCCAGTACTTTTTATTGAATGATGTAGTCGAAATCGGAATACATAACGAGTGAAGGAGGGTTAGGCAGAGAACGATATTTTATTAATATATATATACATTAAATTTTAGAAGATTCTCTTAACTAAATCTTACTATTTTATAAAATAATATACACCAGAAGATTCAAAAACCATTATTATAATTATCGACTTTATCAAGGGATAAATTATTTTAATTACTTTAATACTGATTTGGGTTTGTTTATAGAATAATGTACCCCCTTGAAAAATACAGTAATAGAATATATATAAATTTAAACTCGTACTACCTTAATTATTTTATATATTATGATAAACTTGATCTATATTAATAATCGATTGTATAATTTTATTTTAAATTAATTATTTTTATCGTTATTCCTCTTCTCATACCAAATCTATCTACTACTTATAATATCTTTTTTTACAACCTAAAAAAGTTATAAAAAAAGATAAATAATTAATATAGATGGCGTTAAATACTTGTTATACGTTAAATTTTAATTCTCAATTATTTTAATAAAATAATCTCATTATATAAAAAATTTTTAAAGTTAAAACAAACGAATAACTCTATTACTAAATTAATCTTGCCATATTATACCGAAATTATGCAATTTATTTTATCATTTTATATAACAAACGACTCTTATTAAGCGTAAACATAAATCGTTATACTATATATAAATAACTTAATGGTAATTCAAGGATCGTGTTGAATAAAAAGGAGAGACGGTTAGCACTCCCCTTGATAAGGACGGATGGGGTCTGTATTGACCCTTATCAATACATTTATGATGTTTAAGGCATCATTGTGTATAGGCTTCGTGCCTAACACAAACCATTTTTTTTTTATCATATGTTATTTTTTTTTGTTCTCCATTTAAAAACTCATGTTTTATCTTTATAATGTTAATGAGATTCCACCAATAGAAATTTAGATATAGGCTTCGCGCCTAATATAAAACATTTTTTTTTTATATCATATGTTATATTTTTGTTCTCCATTTAAAAACTCGTGTTTTATTTTATAGTGTTGATGAGACTCCACCAATAGAATTCGCGCCTAACACAAACTATTTTTTCTTATTCAGGGTTGAGGAGACTCCATTAATAGAAATTTAGATATAGGTTTCGCGCCTAATATAAAACATTTTTTTTATATCATATGTTATATTTTTGTTCTCCATTTAAAAACTCGTGTTTTATTTTATAGTGTTGATGAGAATTCCACCAATGGAAATTTTAAAAAATTATTTTTCGTTCTGGCCTGTAAATTTTATTTCCTGTAAATATTTTTAATTTTATGAAGATAATGTGAGAAATTCAGGCTTGGGCCCGTAAAAAAAAATTTTGCTCAAGTTTTACTAACAAAGTCTCAATACCTTTTGTGGGGTCAGGCTTTTTGGTCTGCGCTAATTTTTAACTTAGAACAAGATTTAAGACCTACCCTTTTAAGGTAAGTGTTGTGATCGACGTTGGAGCGTTGAGAGCTTTATCAGGAATTATTAATTATTATTATGTATCTGTAATTTCATGATATTATATTCTTTGCTTAAGGATTAACATAATAATACATAATCAAATACATTCGTTGACATATATAATAGTATGATAGTGAAACGGAGGCCAATTTAAATTTAGATACTCTAGGTATTAGTAAAATCTAAGATCTTGAGAACATTAAAATAAACATTTTTCTCTCTTATAATCCACTAAATAAATGAAATTCACAATTTCACAATTTTTTTCAAAAAAAATTGTTACAAAAAGCTAAAAAATTTAAACTATGTATTAATTTTTATTTCAAAGTCTGCCCAAGCCCGCCTAACGCGGGAAATAGACATAAGCTAGCCTATCTCTAAACCTTAAAAAAAATTGAGGAATATTCGGCTCATATATCTTGGTAGGAATTCTCTACCCTGAAAATCATTTTGCCGCCCTTCCCCATACAAAGTCTAAACTGTCGATCAAAAATAATGGCTTAAAATTTCTAAATATTTTCAGAAGATCATATCTTTATTTCAATAATACCCGCACACCTGTAAACTTGCATTATCCTTCTACAAACGATTCCGATTATATAAATCTGAGGATTGAACTGATTGAATTTAAAATTTGACTCCTTTTTAGCAGTGTAATAAGTTACATAATTATGTATAGATCTGTAATCAATGTCTGAAAAAGACGTACTTTTAATTAAAATATCTATTATTTCAGAATAATCAAAAAGTTTGCGTTCACGAACGATTTGTGCAATATCTAAGCCATTGAAGTATAAAATATAATCTGAAATAACATCGAATTTGTTCTCCGATAATTTAGAAATTATATTGCTTGAATTATCAGGAATTTGGCTTTTAATACATTCATTTGTCGCCCATTTTAAAAGAAATTCGAAAATAATTTGCCTTGGTGCGCATTTTTTATCATTTAAAAATGCGATATATTTTTGTATCATATCCAGAGGGGAGATTAGGAATTCATTTGAATCAAATAGAACGAACCTATAACTTAATTTAAGACGCTAAAAATTATTAATAATAATTTCAACAGATATAACTTAATAATTACCTCGAAACAATTTTCAATATCTATTTCTGGGTGAATTGATGACGCTAAATATAATTTCAAGGCTCTACAACGTTTATCTGTTTTACTATTCACTTCTTCGACACATTTTGACATTAAGTCCTGTAGCATATACTTTTTTGCTCCATATAAAATTTCCAAAAGTATATCTGTATCCATATCTTTGAAATCTATTTCACCCGTATAAATATTCCTTGGGAAGATGGGTAAAATATTTAATTATGATTAAAGTCATATTTATATTAAAAATTACTTCAAGATAATTTCAAAAGCTTTGTATGTCAGATCGTCAACGCATACACAATTGTCCTTGAACTCTACACTCCCAAAAAACATAGTATAAAACATTTCACTTGTATAAGATAGAATATTTTTATGAGCATATAATATGTTCTTTTCAACCTTAGACGAATAATATGCAGGAAAGAAAAATAAACTTTAATATAACCTCGAATCTAACATCTGACATATAGGAACTGTTATATAAACTTCCACAAGTATTTGCCAGAATACTTAAATCTTTAAAACCTTCCATCTTTTCTAAATAAAAACAATATTTTTATAAATGCATTTTAAAAAAGTGTAAGATATAATATAAATTATTTATTTCATAATCGCACTGAATATAGATGTCGGATTGGATTAATGGTGGTCACAAATCAAGGCTAACTTAATTTAAACCTTTTACCTTATATATATTACTTTGAATTTCTAGCTTTTCAAACATGACATGTTTTACGAAAAATTTGAGATAGTAAATTATATGCAAAAATATTGAGAACATTTTTTTGAATACTGTCTTGACCAAAAATAATCCTTAAAAGGCAATGAATAACGGGAAAATCAATATTAGTAATATAAAAGCATCGCACGAAAAATTATTGGCTATGTAATTTAAAACCTAAAAAAGGTAAGAAAAAATAATTTCAAGTAAAAATTTAATGTTTAGCCACGTTATGAAAATACTTTTACCCCAATGGAGAAATTAAAAAGGTCATCCATGAAAATTAAACGAATTATTTTTTAATTTAAACATGAACGGGTTACGCTACACTTTAGCTAGCGCGATTTACTCGATCAGTGCGGAATTAATGGCTAGCGGCTGATTCGACACAGCTATATAACATTTTTAAAATATATGTAATCAGCTGTCTTTTACTTTTTAGATTAATGAATCCCACATAAAGTATTATAAATATAAAAAAAACTTACGGATTTGAGTGAGTTGAATTTATCAACACTGGGTCTAGTAGGGCAGACCTTTTGATCTTTTCATAGGATAAATTTAAATTTAAAAAATTATATTTTTGGATTTTTAATTTTGTTAATTTTATTTAATGATTTTGTTGTATTTTTTTCCTAATAATATCATTAAAATAGAAGAAATAAAAAAAAATTTATTTCATAAAAATAAATTTATTTTTTATTAATTAATTAAGAAACTTTTAAAGACATTCATTGTATAATAAAACATGTATCAGAAATAAAAAATATGTATAACTATTTATAAATGGTGTTGTAGTGCGATATTTACAATATTATATTATATTCATTCTCTAGTGCTTTGTAAACAAAATTGTACATTGTTAATTTGGAAAAACTACTTCCTATTAATTAGTTAATAAACATAAACAGCATATAAAAAATTGGAAAATGACATTAAATCTTGATTTGACTAAAGCTGTGTTTATTTAGAGATAAAAGAAATTATAGATCATTGTCGCCGAATATTTTCGTTTGCTTCTATAGATGAGTTATTTTTCTTTTCTTATTATAATTAAAATTATGAATAAAAAATATAATTTTATTCCATATTTTATATAATATTAGAGGGTCGAAATGACCATTCCGTTAGATTTTTTGGCGGCTCGGACATTTTTTTATATATTTTTAAATTGTTGATATTTTGAATAATACTATTTGAAAAAAAATGTTACAATGTCTTTAATTAGGTATATTTTAAGACATGTTTAAACTAAAATACTAAATCTATAAATAATATAGAGATATTAAATAAGTTATTCTTGATATGTTCTAATAATTAAGTTCAGATCAAACACAATGATTTAAAAAACGGTTGTTATAGAAATAGATAGCCATCTAGAAGAGTTAAAAACAATAGTTGACATTGAGAAATGATATAGATTATATATGGTATATTTTTAACGAGCCAAAACGAGCCGGGGAATACAGTCCTCTGATATGTATTATATGAATATGCAATTTAAGGGTTCTGGAGTGTATTGATTTTATCGATGAAACAAAATCATTTTAAAAAAATTTTAAATCCTTCGAAATGACGGTCTTAATATAATGGTATTATGTATTTATAAATAAGATAATTTTGACAAATTTCTTTAAACTTCGTATTTATACAATTTAAAAAAAAAGTTGTTTCATATATCTCTTTTAAAATGTACTGGTATACCTTTTCTTTTGGTTAATGATGCTTACTACCAAGTGAATGTATGGAAATATTCTAAATACCAACCTAATTTGCTAAATACCGACCAAAATTCATTAAAATGTAATAAGATCCTTATTTTTTAATATATTAATACGGAATCACGTGGTCGAGTCCGGCCTCTTATATATTATCCCCCCAAGGATGGAACCACCAAGTTAGAATAAGAAAAAAAACATAATCATTCCCGGGATTCGAACCCGGGACCATGGGATAAGTAAACCAAGCTCTTGCCTACTAGGCCATAGAGGCTTTCCAAAAATCACGATTTTTCAAATATATATTATAAATATATTTGGTAGTGCCTATCCAAATGAAAATGAACAAAATTCAAATTTGATAGATGGTACCTTAAGGTACCAAGCATCATTAACCTTTCTTTTCACTATATGCACCGTATATTTATATGTTCCAAAATGGTTACTCTTTTAAAGAATAACATTTTATCAACTTTTGGATTATCGAGATGAAAGTGAATGAATACATTTAAAATCCTTATTTTTCCCATTTTTTTTAAAATCAAAAGTTTTTAAAATAATCTTATATAGAAATATCTGATTTGCTTATATTTTATATGATTATCAACATTTTTAATATTAAGCTTCAAATTCTGATATGAATAGCACAGTTACTAAAAATAAATATATCACAGAAGATAAGTGAGCCACCCCACAAACTTCACTTTGGCAAAATCCAGCTGTTATTTGATGATAACAAAGAATGAAATATAGTAAATATACGAGCCATAATTTTTCTCATGAAACAATACGTTCTTAATTGCTCAGCAATATTTATTA